TGTTTAAAGTAATATAAAGTTCAAGTGATATTGTGGTCCAAACATGATTAAATCAATATATCTTTTTAGATACTCATAGATGTAAAAATATATGTAATTTTAGTAGGTTAATACTTAAGTTTAATATTTTATAAATCAACGAGCATTTTTAATTTCATTATACAACGGCTTGTTTTTCTATTAAATACACCTAGGGAAACAAGAAAAATAAACACAAAACAGCAATACTGGTAAAGGTACCCTCTCATAATAAAGCCAGTACAGTGGGCATAGTGGGGCCGGGAAGATCACAGGTCTACTAGAATTATTATAACTGAAAGTGATAAAATCACTTTAAAATAAATGATTCGATGCAAATTTGTTGATAGTAGGTTCAAATCAAGCACGGAATAAACCAACATAGTAAGAAAGTATTACACGGAAGTAAGTATTAATAGTAAGTATAGAAGTTAGTAGTAGTAGTAGTAAGTGAATAAGTTACTGGTGGTTAAAAAGATATCGTAAAGCCAATACACACACACACAAAAAAAAAAAAACGATACCTTCTCGGTTCTGCATTGAAGCTAAAACATATTATTGTAAAATCAATACCTTCTCAGTTTTATCGCACTAAATCTTAAGCATTAATCATAAACTACAGAAATAAGAATACAACTTCTTCCATCTATAAAATCCAAATATTTTCATAAGGTATTTATTTCCTAAAACCCACTTAAACAACGTCCATTATTACTAAAGCAATCAATTTTATAAATTATTGTAATGGAAAAGTCATTATCCAGTCATTATTATTATTATTCAGTTCAAATTTCATTATACATAGTTTACATTCTATATAATTGTATATTATACATTTATTATTTTCCGTACAGATTTACAAATTATTACTTCAGTGTTATAAAATATGACGCTTTAATACATATAAAATCACTCAAAAAAATTATCATTGAAATGTAACAGAAAAACTACAGACTGTAACAACAATGTATTTACATACTTAACACAGAACGTCAAAAAATAGTATTCAAGTCCTTTATGAATTATACACGAGCTGAAATTTATTTGCCAAGCAGTAAAGATATTTAAATGAGTTTAAAAAAAACAAAACCAATAAATTAAACTCATAATATAAGGTTATCATCATAACTGTTTATAAAACGGTGATAGTAATATTACATTTTTAAGGCCTATTAAATTGTATTCTACACAAAATTCAAAAAAATTGACAGAAGCACATTTGCCATAAAAGAGTCGTTCATTTTTAAATAAAGCTAAGGAAAAAAGTCAAACTTTTAGTAAGCTACAGAGTTATTTGTATCTGTGCACATTACTCAACCGCACTCCAGTTCAAGTCCTACATTTTAAACCTTAATAACTTCAAAACCATTTGTTCTAATTGGTTAACAACCAGGCAAAATTTCAGCAAAATATTCTTAATTAAATATAAAATATATTACTATAGTTTCAAAAGTTGATAATAAGCTCTAGAAAATACTAAAAAATATGTAAATTTAAATACTAATTTTATCTAATTTTGTAATAAAGCATAAACAAAAATGTTTTTTAAATTTCAATAATTTTGAGAGAAAAGTGGTGTAGGACATTAAAAGAATCACCCCGTAAATATTATAATCCAATTTTGTTTTAGATTAGAGTTCAGACAAGAAAACAAAATAACCGCTTTTTTTATTTATATAAAATAATTTTTAGAAATAGTGTTCTTTTTTTAAGGTTATTTAAACAAGTATATTTTTATTTCTGTCATTTAAAGTAAATCCTGAGAATATCACTAGTACGACCATTTTAAGTGTATTATTTTTTTGTTTAAATAGATAAAAAAGATAAAACAGTAAGGAATTGCACGCTTAGTGCTTTCAAATAAACGTGAAATTACATTTATACAATGTATTACAAAAATAAAAGTTTTAAATTTAAGTTAAGTTAAAACTTTAACAACGCTTTTATTTCTTATCGTGCATTATCGTTAAAACTTAAATAGTTTTGTAGATTTTTAAGTAAATTAGTTTTTTTGTTACATGATATCTTCACATATTTCTATGCAAATTAATTTGTTTAGAGTAATTGGATTAAAACGTGATAGTATTGTTGAAAAAATTTAATTTAATTTTTGTATCTCATTATAAGTTTATTCCTAATATTTTTATACGTTTTAATATGAGTAAGCTACATAAAAATTCAAAGCGTTTACATGCTTTTTTAGAGAACGCTAGGTACGGTAATAATTAAATGTTTTACATAAACTAGTCAGAAAACATGATATGAATCTGGTTTTATACTAATGAACCTTTTGAATTTTAGCCATCGTCTCTACCTTTTGAGAATCTTAATGTTTTATAAAGGTGGTATTTGTACGTAGGAGTATGGTCGGCTTCCTTGAATCTGGACAGCTAAATTGTAATAATATGATGTTGTGAGACTACAGCTGATATCATAATAAATTCTAGTTTAAACTAAAGGTTACAAACCATTAAATTTAATATGAAACCTCAGACATTTTCAGATAGTGTTTACTGAAAATAAAAATAAAATTATTTGTTGCATTGTAGAATAATTGCCATTTTTCCTTTCCTAGGCCAATGCGTATATGAACTGTAATCTTAAATTCTATAACAGTCGGTAAAAATCTTTTTCGTCAAATTAAATCATTAACACATTTCATCAAGAGACCAATTCATCGAATAATAGTTATTTAAATATATCTATTTAGAAGCAAAAAAATGGAATTTTTTTAACATAACTAGAGATTTAAATTTGAAACTATATACACTGATGGAACCTATGACTGACTAACAGGTGACTAGATGGTTAAGTGAGAGTCGACGTGTCGGTACAATCAGTTACATTGCTTTATACTAATATATGTATTGTGTCCTAGCATTGTGACATAAACAAGGTGTTTTATATTACACTTTTATTGTGGCTCTCTAGTCTCGCGCTTACGCATCGCCTACTATTGTACTGACTTTTGACTGTATAGTTAATTTGAAAGCTTATTGCATTTCAGTTTGTCTTAGATTCAGACACCTGTGCCAGTTGTAATATTCTTTTGATCGTCATCGACTTCATCTCAACCCAATCGTTTTTATTTTCAACTCCAAGTCCCACCTCCCTTTAATGGTTATTAAAAATACGTGAGTACAAATATTAGAAGCTAAAGGACATAGGTTCAAATGTTTAGTGCTAAAATGTATGACTGAGTTTATTCTATATGTCATTATACATTTTCGTTTTTGTAAATTTATTACAAAATGCACCCTTTTGAGCTGTGCCATCGATTTGATGGGTCAAGTGGTAAACATATATTGATAATACTGATAAAGGTGCTATCGTATATTATTGTTACCGAGTATCAAATCGAAAGGTGAAAACGTCTTCCCAACGACAGTTGTTTTGAATTAACAACATTTATTCTACCCGAGTGACGTAACACTTTTACCTACTAAATTTCGTGTACACTATAATTAATAAACTTATTGAGTGATATTATATTGATTTTTAAATTTAAAACTAACTTTTGTTGTTGAACTTAAATCAATTAACTAAACAATTATATATGTTATCATTTATTGTTTAAAATACAGTAGTAATTATTAAGCAGCTATGTCACTCCATTAATTAAGTAAAGAAAGAGTAAGTAATAGGTATATTTTACATGACATGAAATACATAAATTATTATAATACATTACTATGTTTACAAAAAACAAATAAAAATAAACAATACAATAATCTCGATTTATTTACTTGATTTGTTTACTCGTCAATTTTAATTTATTTTTTGATTGCTTAATTGTTTTACTTGTATATTCGATTTATTTACTCGTTTACTAGATTCATGTACTCATAACAAAGCCTAAAAATGTAAAAAGGTTATTATGCTTCTCCATTTCTAGTTTTAGCTCATAATCTTAAGATTTTTTTTTATATATTTTTTGAGTAGATATTAAAGAAGGTATTTTTATTAATTTACGACAGTTTACTTATATACATTACTCATGTTATTCACAAAATGTGGAAAAGTTAACATTCTATTTACATATTTTTAACTTACGAGAATTTAATTACTGCAATGTATTGTAAATTATTACAGATTTAAAAGTTATTTTTTTGTAGTTATTTTGTTTATACTTATTTGTACTTGTATATATGCAGATTATTCTGAACTTCGTTTTTTAACAAAGTTTAATAACACAAATGAAAATATCAACTTGTTTTTTTTAAATGCATTAGTAAAACATAATAACTGGTCCTTTTATTTCTTAGAGTACAAGGGATCAAATATGATCTTAATCGAAGACTTTTTTTTATTTATAACTATAATTGTTCAAAATAATTTTTAAATATATTTTATCAGGAGTCAAAACTTAATAATTAAATTTGATCATCGATAATTCTTAATGCGTTTTCTAATTTTTATAATATAAAAATAACCTAAGAATATGGCATCATTCAAAGAACTATTATAATTTTTATACTACTATAAATAAAAGTAGTTAAGAGAAATTTATTTAACAGCATATTTTTTGGACTTCCATTAAAAAAGTGTCGTTTTATCTTTACAATAAACTATTTTTTTTAAAACGAAGTTGAAAGTTAAAACTTTTCAATAAACCCCTAGTTTTAGAAGCGTCACTATGATTAATATGTATAATGGTATTGTTTAAATATCTGGTTAAAATCTAAATATATCTAAATCTAATATTATTTTCAGATAAGATTTCCAATAATTTTTCATTAATCCGTAACTCTTTAAGTATTCTTATTTTTGTTTTAAATTTTGGAAAATTAACTATGTAAAAAAAAAAATTCTTTGCTACAACAGCTAACACAGTGCAGATATTTGCGCCAATGCTATTTATATACACACGTATTTATATTTATGTACTTATAGAATTACCTAAGCAAATTTCTACGGGTCTATTTTAATTGTAATGATTAAATTATTTTATTGTTATTATAATATCAAATGTAAATACTTACGATATTCGTTTTCGGATGTAAATATTTACATGTATACATAATTATATTTCATCGTGTTTTTTTTTTCAGAGTTCTTCTTCGTATCCACAACCAATCAAAATGAAGACAACGCGGAAGAAACAACACACTGAGTGAACACACAGCTTTGTGGTTACGCGGTCGACGATACTAAACTGGCGCCCCAAACTTGTGCTCTTGGGTGCTGTCGCCTTGTATAAAAGCCGCGCAAGTGCTGAACCATTTTATAGCATAGCACTGTGTAAGGTATATCATTCACAAAATGTTAATAACCATAATAATACCCTAAGGTCATGTTGTTATTAGATTTTTGTCTTTAATGCAACATTATTCTACACGGACAAATATTGCAAGTACGTGTACAAGTAATGTACTGTAAATGGATAGCGTGATTGCGTGGTATTATATTTTTTGCGCTTTAAATCTATTACTATGATGATATTTAATTTTTTTTTTGTCTGTTTTCTCGATTATAGTTAGAAGCTAAGATCCGTCAAAGTAATTACATATTATTGTTTAACAGAATTCGGACTTGTAAAGTGTATAAATATCTGCGATTGTTCACGTAACCATAGCAGCAACGCGATACAGCAATCTGTTATTATTCAAGTATTTATAGCACGTACGTTAGCACAATACACATCCAAATCATGACCGAATTTCATTTATTTGGATTGACAAGGCTTAAAGTGAATTCGAAATGTGTTAAGCGAACGAGGAAACCGGAAAACCAATCAAAAAAGTTTCTACGACTTAGCAAAACAAATTATATTTTAATAAAATATTCATTATTGTAATTTATAAAACTAATTTGCACACTTTTCAAGTAAATACTAGTCACGAAAACTATTGATTGTAAATATTAATTTCAATCATAATAACAACTTTGATATTAACGTATCCAATGAATGTCGTCTAGTCGGGTCTATAAATTATACCGAAATACCAACTAATTAAAAAATAACGGTACCAGGTAGGGGTTGTAAGATGATTAATGATGGTATAATTGTTATAGTTTTTTATTGATATAAAAAACATAAGTTTATCCATTACGGTATGTCACGCGAATTCTTGTTAAAAGTTAACTAATGGTTTTTATAATTGTATTTATGTTATTTTATTTCTTCAAGTATTCTACTCGTATTACTGCTAGGTACTTTTAACGTTTTCTGCGGATCAATAAATTTGTATGATTTAGTTTTAAACATCATAACTGAGACTTACAGTATTTACTTTAGGTAATTTGTTATTTTATAAGAACAAACAATAGTAGTTATTAAAAATACGAATAGGTGTTTTACGGAGTAGTAAATTTTAAATTTGTTTAATTTTATTAACAATAAGTTAGATTTGGAACATAAAATATTTTTTGTATGTACCCACTATTGTTGATATTTATTTTTAATACTGCCTTTACTTCTTATGAAGATCTTGATGGTTTTTTTTAAACATGATTAAATCATAGTTAATTTTATCTCGTTGGTACGGGACACCACTAAACTAGTCAATAATAATTATTTGCATAACATTTAAGAACATAAAATATATAGAAATGACTTGTTTTTCTACTAAGTACACCTAGGGAAATTAGAAAAGCAAATACAAAACTGTAATACAGAGTACAGGCACCGTCTCATAACAAAGCCAGTACAGTGAGGAGGCCACAGGACTTCGGTATAGTTATTATAACTGAAAGTGATTAAATTACTTTTCAACAATCGCTTCGTTGTGATACTATAGATTATAAAAAGTATTAAGTCAAAATAAATGTCATGACGATAAACAAGTTTACTAATCGTGTTAATTGACTATTTGGGTTTCCTATGATTATTTGAATGTTAAGTTTGTTTAAATTTGATTTGAGAATAATCTACTAAACATTTAGACGGATGATTGGGAAATTTATAATATATGTAAAAATTATTAAACATCTTGTATGTGATTTAGCATCATAAAAAATTTGTATTGTTAGTAATAGGTACGGTAAATACAATTAGGGTTGATTCCTAATAATTCGTTTCCATTTCACCAAGAGGCTACACCTAATAAACAATAATACATTCTGTAGCCCAAAATTAAACCAACTTAAGTCACACTATGCAAACTTTTCAAGAAAGCATAATAATGTTAAATATCTAGTATACTCTCTTACGAGGACTTACACTCCTAGTGAATTATAAAAGGAAAAATTCTAATGGAAATTCGTTGCTATAAATTAATGCAATAACAAATTCTCAATGCCCTACTGTAATAACCTGCAAATCATCATTATCGGACTAACGTTCATCGCGTTCAGAGGTAGGTACAGAAAACATTTAAATATTTTTCAGTTACTACTCTATTAATTTAGTTTTTGATTTTGGTTTTCTTTAATAAAAAAAGTTTGACAACAGATTTTTAAAATAAAACTATGTAACCTTCCGTTTAATTTTCAGTTAAGCTTTAAAATTATACCTAAAAAGAAAATTTTTTTACCCATTTTGGAGAAAAGGGTTATGATTTTTTTCTAGGGTTTTTTCTGTATATTGGTAGTACTGTATCTTAAGTTTATCCCTTACAAGTTAAGAAGTAATTAATCTACTTTTATAAAAGTTATAACCGTAATTTTTTCAAGATAAAACGTATATTTATTTTTCAGGTATTTTTCTCGTCTTTAAAAAGGAAGAGGTGACCTTTTGTATTTTTAGACTTATATAGTACCTCTTAAGTACGATTTCTGATCCATATATTTGCTACGTAATGAAATCGGTTTAATGATTTAGGAAATATTGTTGGTCCAAACATAAAAAAAAAAAAGTTAAAAACATCATTGTAAAAACAAAACATGCTCAAATCCGCATCGAAGCTAAAATATACGCTAAAGAGTTACCTACGCTTCTTGCATAAGACAGTTGTCTAAAACTGTTTAAAAGATATCATAAATTATTTTTTTTTTAAATTTTATTTCCTCACATCCGTTTGTTTGTCATAGAGTATCTTTCTTGAATTTTTTTTAAATATATATTTTCATAGCGTTTAGAGTTTGAACCGATTTGAACTCTAGTGACCGTAGCATTTTAACTTAATCATGTATTCAGATTTGCATAGTTTGTGTGATAAATAAAATAATACTTTTAGATGGTTTCCAAAAAGAAACCACGAGGCCCAACTAATGTATGTAACTAAAAGTAAATATTTTATAGCATTATTTAGTATTTACTAATTCGTAATTTTGTTTAATGATTTTATATAATGACAATAGATTTTAGCTATAGACATTCCTACCATCTTTCCTTTAAAGAAAGACTTTAGATAGTGTTGATTGTGTAGAACCTAAATTGCCTTAAGGCATGTTGAACAATTATGAACTTTGAATTATGTTACTTATATAGATAATATGTTGTATTGCATCAGTATTCCAATGAACTTTGTAGTAAAATGTAATTGTTGTAATGCATTATATTCCTGAAATGTTCTTTGTGTGATACGAGTTGAACAAACTAGTATAAACACAACTAATAAGTGTTAAGGCATTTTGGTAATATAGTTAAGCATGCAAGCATTTAACAACGAGCTTAATGTTTCATCACTACCTTTACTGAATAATGGAATAAGCGTGTACACATTTTTAAACACTTCAATTATGTAAGAAGTGATTAGTAGTAATTTACCTCTGTAGAAAGTTCACCATCCGCTTACCTACCTGTTTTAATCAAAGTTTGACAGTTGAAGTTGCAAGTCCGTACTCGAATTTCCTTTGTAACATGATTACTGATTAGTGGTTTTGCCATTATTACGACGAATTCAAATTTGGTTCCTATCTTCGTTGTTATTGTTTTTGCTCAAAACCCATTTTAAATCAGTTAATTGTCTATTTTTTTTTTTTTGTGAAGTGTGGTAACACAGAGACTGAGATTATTGGTGGTAATAAAATAATTATTTTATTTATTAAATGTAATAATATAATATACTAAAAACAGCTAAATTATTTGCATATTTTCATAATCTAGAACTATAACATGTTTATACTTTATAGCACTGTTATAATATATTATTTGGATGGTTAAATTAAATAATAATTTTTCATGCACGTTGTTATTTATAAACATATTGTGTTAGCTCACAAATAACTTAAAATATTTAAATGATAACTCACATTAATAAATTTAAATCAAATATGATAACTAATGAGAAAAAATGCACCCAACTTTTTTTTATGAGTTACATAAGTCTAACAGCAAAAAAAAGTAATTTATATAAATTGTAATAAAAATTAATAAATTAAATAATATTTTTTGTAATCGTTCCTTATCTTATAAACTAAAGCTGTTTTAATGAAATAGATTCTTAAAATTTCTCTTAGTGCGTATTGATAATTTTTATATGTAACTAGTAATTCACATGTGTATATAAATAGTGTTAAAAGAATATTACACGTAGTGTACCTACTACCTATGTTTATAGTACCTCAAAAACCGTTTAAAATTATATGCATAACGTTGTAGACTGGTTATTATGAAAGTTTTTTTATAGATTGATTTGTATTGGTTTTTGGAATAATGTTAAGATGAATAATATGTTGGTAACCTGACTGATAAGTTATGTACTCATCAAAAACTTATTCTTAATATTGCCGTATATATTTTTTTTTTAAATTTTAATTTGATACAGAAAATTACTTACACTACTTAAAGCACTAAAAGTAAGATGTCTGCCTAATTTTTAACAACAAAAAACAAGGAAGCATTTTATTTAGATTTACTAAAACATTAAATTCAAGTATTTTTATATTACAAGTGCATTATATCATAATATAATAATAAACACTGAATACAAATTATAACTCAACATTAATTTTCTGTAAGTCTGCTATAATTCCAATGCGTCAAATCATAGCTCTTTTTAAACTTATTTAGTAGATGTAAACACAGACGTGACAAGTGGGAAAATTGTTTACTTCGGCTATAAAAGTGTACAATGGACATAAAGCACGTAAGCTGTTTAATCTAAAAACGTTGGTCACAATATTTTTTCATGTCGTAAAAAAAAAGAATTAGGGATTAGTCGTCTTAAAACGTATCCTTGAATTTTCACGTTCTGCACGTCCAAAAACAATTTTTCAATGAAACCTACTCAGCAACTCAAAGTAGTCTACAAAGAGTGATGTTCGTTGTTTAGCTAGCCAGGCACATCACTATTGCGTAATAAAACAAAATCATTTTGTCTAATACTAATACAATTAATAAAATGGTGGGTGGGTGTTTTTTTTGTAGTGTAAAGATTTTAAACATAATAGGTATACCGTAAACTCAAAAAATGTAACTATGATAAAGTATGTAACTAACACTTAAGATAATACTAGAATTATTACAACTGAAAGTGACAAAATCACTTCCAAATAAATGCCTCGATACGAATCTATAATGGTAGGAGTATAGATATCGATACAGTTAGAACATAAAATAATCGATTTACAATAATACTTAAATATAAATAAACATTTAATTAAAATCCAGCCTCAGTAATAAAGGAAATAGTGAGTAGGATAGAAGATTCGGAAATGGAATTAAGGCGATAGAATACAGACTTAAAGGAATGCATAAGAATCTTAAACATTTATTAAAAACGTCAAGATAAAAATATGTCTTTCTTGTTTGTGCTACTAGTGGCTTATTTTTAATCTATTGTTGGCATTACAATTATATTTGTAGCATAATATGATATCATTTTAATATATAAAATAAATATTATAATCCTCTCGAATTATTATCTAAAAATAGTTGTAATGTCAATTATTCTTTTAGTAGCACGTAGTGGATATAATAACGTATTAACTTTTCTTGTGCTGTTTAATAAAAGTGTGCGGAGATGTTTAGGATACTTCACTTAAACTGTGTTGGGTCATGGGTGGCGTTCTTAAACTGAACGGAATGTTATAATGTTTAATAAAAAATAAAAAAGTTCAACGTTTAATAAAACATAAACAATCTTGAATAGGGAGAACAGAGTAAAAAACATATAGATAAAGTTTTACAAATTGCGATGTCTGAAAAGTCCAACAGTTAGCGACTTAAGAGAACTTAACAATTTATTAGGCTAATCAATAAAACAATATATATATATATATATATATATTATATTCACACCGTAAAATTAATGGATAAATCAATTGGTGTTTGATTATTGTAATAATGAATGTTTTTTTTAATGGTAAAACTAGAAATTAACATTATTCGTTCCAAGTATTTAACTGTTTATAGTCTAACCCTAGGGTATAAAACGTTCTGAAATTTTCGATTCGTTTTATTTTTTCACGAAATGTAAATTGCGCTTCATGTTCTTTCATCATTAATAATATATAATCATTGTATATTATTATAAATAATTACTTATTAATTCGTTTTTTTTTTAACTACGTAGATCATTTTTTTCTTATTAAGAAAAAAAAGTGAAGTTTTTTGTATTCGATTAAATGAGAGAATGAGGTACTATTAAGTTTATCGTGAGGTAATAGTTAGATCGTTGAAGCTATTAGTTACATCATTGACGTACATTTTTTGTTTGTAGAGTGTGAAGAAACCCAGAAATCGTTTGATTTTGGACATAGACAGCACTGCGTTAGGATTTCTAATCGACTTAAAGACAAAAAATTTATTTTTAAATGAACTATCGAGGGAACTATATTATAATCAAATGGCCAAGTGATTAAATTAAATTTGAATATAAGAGTAACTATATTGTAATAACTATAAAAAAAATAGTGCCCAGTCTATTTAGAAACAATAATTAAGCAGCTTGCTAAATTTATTTGTGTAATCATTGAATATGCGATCACAACTAAAAAATTTAAGGTATGCTAAGTAAATATACACCACTTAATTATATTCAGAGCGTTAAAACAAAAAAAAGAAATAATAAATTATTACTTATTGAAGTCAGTGTTGTAAGTTAATTACACCAATACGTTCAATGTAATTTTTACTTTTGGGGTTAGGTGGTCATATATATATATATAGTCCCCATGTCATCTATTATATTATCAAAGTTCTTATTTTATTTAATCAAGCCATTAGCCAACACCTACCGACTTATAATTTATTATTAGTAGCAATTATCGCATACCAGTTATTTCATCACATATTACACTTAATTCGTATAAACTAAACCGACCATAAAAGAAAATTATCTTATTTCATTTTCGAAGATGCGTTACAACTTGTTTTCGTAATAAACCCTAGTTTTAATAATAAAAGAGACTTCTCATGTCCATAGTACAGACAAAATATTCTGTACCTTTTTCTTAAGCTGTATAGCTTATTATAATAATATTTCTTACAGTACATACCATATCTTTATATCTTCCCATGCACTTAAATTAACTACCTCTAAATTAAATTATTTTACGTTTTATCCATGTTATAATTGGAGACATAGGAGATATGAGAAAATTATAGAGAAATGTGAAGGACAGTATAAGGAAGTCTGACTTCACTTGTGAAGAATATGCGATGCAGATTTGGAAGATAAATTTAAGAAGATACACAATTTCATAACACAACTGAGTTTTATATATTTGTAATAATTATTATTATTGGGTAATTATAATAACATATTTATTCAATATCCAATCAAAGTCTATCCAGAAGTTACTTATTTATATTTACAAAAATTTCAAAATGTTTGACCTAAACAATATACATTGATATTAATATACCACGAAGAAGTTATTTTAGTAACTTCTGGACGGGCTAAAATAAATTGATTGGTAGAAAATAGATTAGCGTAGTATGCATGTTACATAGATTAATTTTTTGTTTCTTAATGTATACAAATTAGTTAAACTTTTTTTTTTTCTAATAAATGAAAACAAATTTTGAACTTTTATAATTTCAACGTAATGACTTATGGCATATTTTTCCAATAAAATCCGAAAATGTTATAATAATTACCAGTAATTATTAAAATTGTACAAAACATTCAATTGTTAAAAATTATAAAAATGACAGTTAAAATTATATTGACTGATAATAACAAAAGAAATTTTGAATTAAAATTAATTTATATGTCACGTTTTTAGAGAGCTGTAGATATCTAAATTTACAATTTGCACTTCATTACACAACATGCATTGTAGCTATCATGATATTTCTAGTTTTTAACTTTTGAGTCTCTCCTAACAATATTAATCCGTTTTCCGAAGTCTTGTTGATTGAAATCATTGGGATACTTATTTCTACTTGGACTTTTTACTACGACGGACGGGTTTAATGCACTTTGCTTAAGTACTTGATCAAAACTGTTACGAATCGAAGCTGTTTGTGATTCGCTTTGTTCACAATAAGAACACTTATATGGCACTTGGTAAGCTGACGGAAACACTGGTTCTAATTTTGATGCCACATTTGGATTTGATGTCCCGACACAAGACGGATAAAATACCACTGGAACATAGCCAATCACAGCACCAGGCGGTAAGTTATTTAAGTCAATTGTAGATGGTTGTTGTTGTTGTTGTTGACTATTTGAGTCGTTAGTCGGTGGTATGAAATAGCAAGGGCAAGATCCAGGATTCGGAACAATTGGTACAGGGTACGGTATAACATCGACATTTGAGGTAGTTTCAGGTGATAAGGTGCTATACTGTTCTTCAAATGATTTTATGGTTGTAAATTCCTCTGGACTGGACGTATAATCTGGTTGAGTAGGTGCGTATTTGGGAGTTACCGGTTCAGGCTTACCAGACAATATCACAAGTTTGGATTCTTCACCAGAGTGGTATGTTGGTTTAGGAGTAGATTTTTCTAAGTATTGTGTATTAGGTGTAGTGCTGCTAAAATATTGTGGCTTAAACGTTGGGTTACTGTAATATTGTGGCTTTGGAGTTGATTTCGTTGGACTGTTAGTAAACTGTGGTTTTGGCGAACTTGGATATGTTGTAGAGGAGCTAGAATACTCGTATTCATTAAGATCAACTGCTTTTTGTCCATTGTTACTTTCAGGTTCATTTGGCACGACTATGCGTACATCAATGACACTCGGTGTACTGGAATATTCTGATGGTTGACTAGATTTGCTAGGGTATCCAGAAGATGGGGTAGGAGAATATGTAGGTGCTGGACTTGTAACTTGGGGCACCTTAGGTTTCTTCTCTAATTCTGGGTATCCAACGTTCGTTTGAGGGAAGCTGTAAATATGTTTATTATTTGGATATCCTCCGAATACTCCAGAATCCGGATACTGTTGTGGTTGTACAGGGTATGTGTTTTGGCTTGGATATACCTCAAAATATCCAGGATATCCAGATGATGGTGATCCTTCTAGAGGATAACTTGGAATAGGCCCGGCAGGAGTTGGTTGCGGATAGCCCGAGAAGAATATTTCAGGATAGCCATATGGCGGTGGTGCACCATAATCAGGTTGACTTGGATATGAAGGTAGGGGACTAGGAGAAGATGGGTATCCTAGAATAAACATTTCCAAATTGTTAAAATAATTTGTAAAAATGAGCTTAAATCATGTCATACAACGATTAATAATACTTAATTTACCTGATGGTTTTTGAGGTGAAGGGAAGCTGGGATAGCTAGGCGATCCTGGAAGTCCTGGTGATCCAGGAATACCTGGTGTTCCTGGACTACCCGGTTGTCCTAAACAATTTCATACATTATTTATATAATTGAATTAGAAAACTAAAAATCTATAATACAATTATCATAAATCAATTACCTGGAGACCCTGGATAGCTGGTTGTGCTACTTGGTAGTCCGTAATCTCCAGTGGGCAATATCTCAACGCCACCTGGTGACCCAGGAAGGCCGGGAGCGCCGGGTCCACCTAAAAAGTAATTGCGTAATGTGTGATTAAAGTTGGCACTTTGTACTCACAATGTAAATATATGGTTGTTAAATATATTTTATTATGTTTATTTTAGTTTTCTTAAAAAAAAACAAAGTGCATAAAATATTTGTACTGCGTTAAACCAAAAGGAAAACCGATAAAAAATCTATTTAAACTATTTTAAAATAAACGTTAGTTAATAAGTATCATGCAAAAACAACTATAATATTCACTACGATTGTCTGTGCATTTTTTAGATTTTTTAGATTTTTTTATAATTTGTTTTTGGTTAAAAGTAAATAAATTATAAATTACCTGGAGAACCTGGTGAACCTGGATATCCTGATGGTGCTATTGGGTAAGATGGCTGGGATGGATAAGCAGGGTATAATGGCTTAGGCGGTGGAATTGGTTTTTCATACGCTGGTTCGGCGGGGTAACCCGGAAAACCAGGAGTCCCTGGAGATCCTGGAGTACCAGGAGTTCCTGGTTGACCTTAAACAATAGGTGTTCTAAGTTAGCAAAATACTAAACTTTCGGGTTAACAATGAGGTTGAGTACCTAATGTATATTATGGTATCATAAACACAATTTTAAGGATCAGTTATTCTAACATGTGTATTGACCCAGTAAGTTTAAGCAAAGGTGTTACCTGGACTTCCTGGATAAGAGGGGAAGGCTGGCTGCAATGGATAAGCAGGGTAAGATGGCTCTGGCGGCGATATTGGTTTTTGGTAAATTGGTTCGGCAGGTAAGCCTGGAGTGCCCGGGACTCCTGGAGTTCCTGGTTTACCTAATATGAATGAAAATAATATAAAAACTAAATTTATACATAACATCAAATTTTAATTAAGGACTATTATTACTAAATACATCAGAAATTGTGTTTAGTTTATGTTTGTAAAGCTAAATATTCAAATATTTTTAGAAAAGATTACATTTTTACGTGCAAGGTATTGTTTTTTGTTAATGTATTATTTTGATCAAAGAAATTACCGTCTTAAATTTATGGTATTGATATTATACCTCATTATTTTATTATTGAAAAGTTTTTTTTTATCAAATTGAATTAAAAAAAGTTGAAACTTTAAAACTCGTATGGTCTTTTTTTCTTGTTTTTTCAAATGTTAACTGTGAAGAAGGGAACTTTTTCAACTCATAACCCCTCCTCAAAGTATCAACTAGATTGAATTTTTTATTTATAGAGTTGCTTCTCGAAGGAAGGGGTCAAGTATTAAAAAAGTTACAGTGTATACAGACACAAAAAAAGTTTACATCATTGTAAGGCCAATAGAATCACTACTCCGCATCAATGCTAAAAAAGTTATTTCCTTGTATATTCACCTGGTAAACCTGGGGTTCCTGGTTGTCCTGGGTATGGTGAACTAGGGTATGGACTAGTTGGGCTTGGTTTTACTGAAGAGTAATTGGGTTTTTGGTAAGATGGACCTGGTGACCCTGATGCTCCTGATGTACCGGGTTTACCTATAAATGATAAAATACCTCTTAAAACTCCGTATCTGATGCATTTATAAATATTTGGCATATGCTATTTTACATAGCTAAGAAATATTAACTAAAAATATTGTATTTTAATAAAGCTAATTACCTGGCAAGCCCGGAGTTCCAGGTTGTCCTAAAATAAAAATAACAAAATATCATTAAGAAGAATACAAGTTTGCATAAAACAATAAAATATATTGTTGAAATTGAGAAGTATTAATAATTATAATACGCCAGTTTTTAGACATTAAATGAATTTATTTTACTACCACTATTTTTTTAATCCCTCCTCCCCTCGAAAAAAAACAAATCTTTAGTTAAATGTCTACCATGATGTATTTATTTACCTGGATAACCAGCTGGTAAGGGATATGGAGTGGAACTTCCAAATTGATTGCTTGACTCAGGATATGATGGAGAAGTTGGATACGATGAGCCTGGAAGACCTGGTGTACCTGGATTTCCTATTTAAATTTAAAATAATATTATAAAAATAACAATACTATTTATAATCAAACAATTATTTGAGTGTATTTGAATAACAATATCTGTTAAAAATATTAAAGCATTTTATGGAAAGATAACATTTTTTTTACCTGGTGTGCCTGGTAAACCTGGAGCTCCGGGTTGACCTACAATCATTATGGGTTCAAATATTATTTCGAATTCAGTATTGACATTAAAAATATAATAATATCATACGTCGTATAAATAATTTAAATATTAAACATAAATAATTATGTTCTGAGAAAATTAAATTGACTTTTCATATTTGAATAAAAGTTAACTACATACAAAAAACGTTTGATTAATTTTTAAATTAATAAGATGTTTAGTTTACCTGGCCCGGCCGGGTAGCTTGTAGGTGGAGAAGGTTTCGGGTAGTAAGGTGATCCCGGTAATCCTGGCGAGCCTGGTAAACCTGGAGTGCCTGGTTGGCCTATACAAAAATGAAAAGTAGTTTATAGTTATAAAAAAATAGAAAACTTATATGTTATTCGACTTCCTAAATACTACAATTTTTAATTGAGATTTTTACCTGGTTGTCCTGGATAAGGGGCTAAAGTCGGCTGACCGTACCCACTTGAAGGGGTACCCGGAAGTCCTGGTGTTCCTGGTTTTCCTAAAAAAATGAACGACTTATAGATTTTATTTTGTATAGTAAATGTGTATACTGTGGTTTATAAAAAAAATATGTAAACTATTGAAACTCGTAATTTATTTGACTTTTGATTTTAAAAAAAAAGTATTTTAAAATAATGTAATTTGTATTTTGAGAAGTTAAAAAATGTATACACAAATTGTTTAGGGTTATTAAAAATCAATACCATATTTGCATACATAAATATATAATTACCTGGAGATCCGGGAGATCCTGGATATCCTAAAAAAAAATATAAACATAAATATCTTTCGTCAAATCACAGTAATATTCAATTAAGAGGATGTCAGCGCAGCCCATTTTAAGAATTAAAGTATAGGCAATTTTTTACAAAATCTTAACTTAAAGGTTAAACTATGATGTGTAATTAATAGTTCACTAATAAAGACTCTTTTTTGGTAATTAAATTATTTTTCGGACTATTACAGCATCCGCGACAGCGATTTAAAAAGAATTTTCCATAAAAAACTTAGTTTTTTACATCCAAAAATATGGCTTACTGAGGGCTTTTAGAGCAAAAAACTTTATAATCAAAATTAAAAAAAACAACATTATATAAGGGCACTTTGAAGCTCTTTTTCTGTTATTTCAAAAAAGACATTCATTAATTTATTTAAAAAAAGACATTTTTTGTTAACTTTAAACCCTATAACTTCTAAAAAATAGGTTTTTCGAAAAAAAGGCTTCGAGATGCTATTCGAAATATTGTTTTCTTTAAATAATCTAATAGGTATTTTTGCATTAATATCAATTAAGAATCTTAAGTGCCGGTAAATCGCTGCGCTGACATCCTCTTAATATAATTGTAGTACAAAATGAAGTATTTTTTTAAAAATTATATACAGAACCACATTCTAACTCTGTGGGTTTTGGTTAGATTTAATAAATAAATAAAATAAATGCATGATTTTGTAAAAAAAAATGTCTCTAATTGTAAAATAAAGAAAATCAAACCGGGTGTCACTGGGTAAGTAGGTGGTTTCGGGTAAGATGTACTTGGAAATCCTGAAGATCCTGGTTTACCTATAATTTACAAAAATAAAGAAATTTGTTTTATATGTGTAAATCTTTCATTTGTGTAGAAAAAGCGAATTAATTTAGTTATACCTGGTAAGCCTGGAGAACCTGGAGCACCTGGTGCTCCCGGAGATCCTAAAAAAACAATAATTTAAGTACGTTATTTAAAAAATAATATAAATAAAAATATTTATAAAAGAATATTAAAAAAAAACTAACCGGGTCCACCTGGGTATCCTGAACCTGGAAACGGGGATGGTTTTGGATAAGAAGAACCTGGAAGTCCTGGCGTTCCTATAAAAGAAATTATTATATTTATTATATTTGTTTAATGTTTTTTTAGCTATTTGAATAACTATACATAAAACATTTTTTATGGTAGAAAAAATTAATTAATTTAGTTATACCTGGAAGTCCTGGAGAACCTGGGGCACCTGGAGATCCTAAAAAAACAATAATTTAAATACGTTATTTTAAAAATAATATAAATAAAAATATTTATAAAAGAATATAAAAAAAAAACTTACCTGGTCCACCTGGGTATCCTGAACCTGGATACGGGGATGGTTTTGGATAAGAAGAACCTGGGAATCCTGGCGTTCCTATATAAGAAATTATTATATTTGTTTAATGTTTTTTTAGCTATTTGAATAACTATACATAAAAAGTTTTTATGGTAGAAAAAATTAATTAATTGAGTTATACCTGGAAGTCCTGGAGAACCTGGGGCACCTGGAGATCCTAAAAAAACAATAATTTAAATACGTTATTTTAAAAATAATATAAATAAAAATATTTATAAAAGAATATTAAAAAAAAAACTTACCTGGTCCACCTGGGTATCCTGAACCTGGATATGGGGATGGTTTTGGATAAGAAGAACCTGGGAATCCTGGCGTCCCTATATAAGAAATTATTATAATTATTATTATTGTTTAATGTTTTTTTAGCTATTTGAATAACTATACATAAAAAGTTTTTATGGTAGTAAAAATTAATTAATTGAGTTATACCTGGAAGTCCTGGAGAACCTGGGGCACCTGGAGATCCTAGAAAAATTATATAAAACAATAGATAATATATGCTTTATAGTATACGAGTAATTACGAACTATTATTTAAACAAAAATCTTGCCTGGTCCACCTGGGTATGCAGAACCTGGGTATGGTGGTGGTTTAGGGTAAGACGAACCTGGGAGTCCTGGTGTTCCTGTATTAATAAAAAAAGTTTAAATTTGTTTATTATTGGTAAAAAGTATTTTTTTTTTTTTTATTTCTAGGATATATTGCTAAAACACTAATATATATTTTTTGTTTTATTATTTCCCTCGGCGGCAAAGGCCATTGGGTTACATTAAATTATTACAATACTAATATTATTATTATACTATAGAAAGTATTTCTTCAGGTACACGGTAATTCGCCTTTGCGAATTTATTACTGCTTATAATATTTACAACTACATTTATGAGTAATAATAAACTACGGATTTAGGAGTCATTAGTAATAATTTAAACAAATTATACCTGGAAGGCCTGGAGATCCTGGGGCACCTGGTGACCCTGAAAGTATTTTAAAAACAGTATGTAGTTTTTATATTATAATTGTAGTAAATAGTTTTAGATTAAGGATTTTGTTCTATTTAAATATCAGTTTTGTAATAAATTAATGACACTTTAAGACGTATAACAAAGCACATGAATAATTATTTTGTAATAACACTAACCAACATTAAGTATTAAATTATTAAATATATAAATTACCTGGACCGCCTGGGTATGGCGATGGTTTAGGATACGGCGAACCTGGTGCTCCTATATTGTTAAAATAAATAAAAAAATATATTATTAATAATTCTAGTGTTCAAGTAAGTTATTACTAATACATTTTGTTAATAATACCTGGAAGACCCGCCGAACCTGGGAGTCCCGGTGAGCCTGGAGATCCTAAAATATTCACAATACAAAACAAAATTTAAATGAATAAGTTATATAGTTTAGGTTATACTTAAACAGATATTAAATATTAGACTGTGTAATATTATATGAAATTATCAGTTTTCAAACACCGGACATGTACAATTTTAAAAAGTGTACTATGCCATTGACCTAAGTGTTTCTTATACTATAATTATTTTAACTGCAATTTATTGTCTTACAAAAAAATCAATAAAAAAACTATCAACAAATTCAAATGAAGAAAAAAATTAATAACAATTGTAACAATTTTTACCTGGACCACCTGGATACGCTGATCCTGGGGACGCTGACGGTTTTGGGTAAGATGAACCTGGAAAACCTGGCGTTCCTACAATATTAAAAACTTTATTATAATTTATTATTTTTTATAATATGCTTAATTCAAATTTTAAACTACATCTGACAACATGTATTTTAAAGTGTAGGTATATTTTACCTGGTAGACCTGGAGAACCTGGGGCACCCGGTGATCCTAAATAAAAAGGATTTATAAGTCTTCTTCTATAATCGATAATCTTAGAACTATTTTTATTTAAATACTCTTATATATACCTGGGCCACCTGGATAGGGAGTTGGTTTAGGGTACGATGAGCCTGGGAAACCTGGAGTACCTGGCTTTCCTATAAAAATATTTTTCATTGCAATAAATTGGGTAAAAACTAGCATCTAGGAAACATGCATAGGATAATTACAAAAAAGTTAAAAACTATTGTAATACTTAATTCAAAGAATTTTTATATTGTAGCAAAAAATACGAATTATTAATTTCTTAAAAATATACGTTCAAAAGTAATAATCAAAAATGATCAAGAAAATGTACCTGGTAGACCTGGAGAACCTGGTGAACCTGATGATCCCGGGTATCCTGTAAGCGAAATATAATATAATTATTGAACAAACAAACAAATTCAAATAAAAAACAGGATTAGGAGTATTAGTTTACTATACATTTTAATTATTATTTTTGTTTTTTAATTACCTGGATATGGTTGTGGTGGTTTAGGGTATGACGAACCTGGTAATCCTGGTGTTCCTATATTGTACAACAAATAAATAATATATATAATATACACATCATATAAAATGGAATAATGGACTAATAAAATGATATATACCTGGAAGACCCGGAGAACCTGGTGATCCTGGTGACCCTAAAACAAATTGATTTACATAAATAAAAAAAATAAGTGTATTATTAAAAAAAAACCTATTATCGAGTTTTTTGATTTATAGGAGCAATTAGTTACCTGGGCCACCTGGATAAGCTGGTGCTGGATACGGAGACGGTTTAGGATAAGACGAACCTGGGAATCCTGGTGTTCCTATATTGTACAACAAATAGATAATATATATATAACATACACATCATATAAAATGGAATAATGGACTAATAAAATTATATATACCTGGAAGACCCGGAGAACCTGGTGATCCTGGTGACCCTAAAACAAATTGATTTACATAAATAAAAAAAAATAAGTGTATTATTAAAAAAAAACCTATTATCGAGTTTTTTGATTTATAGGAGCAATTAGTTACCTGGGCCACCTGGATAAGCTGGTGCTGGATACGGTGGTGGTTTTGGGTATGATGAACCTGGCAAACCTGGTGCTCCTAAAACACAAATAATTATAACAATATTATAATTTAGTTTAAATTAAATTTGTTTAAATGTTATTGCTAAGATTATTTGATAGCTAATAGCTACAATAATTTTGAAAAACTATACCTGGAGATCCTGGGGCACCTGGCGACCCTATATAATATTTAAAAAAAGAAATGTAATTATTTAATAATTTTGTTATTTTATAATTATTTGTATTGTTATTATTTTTAAAAAAGTCTAACCTGGACCACCTGGATAAGCAGATTCTGGGTATGAGGGTGGCTTAGGATAAGATGAGCCTGGTAATCCTGGTGCTCCTATATTCAAGAGAATAATCTGAATTAGTTAAATATGTTTAATCAATAACTATTGAATAGAGATATACCTGGTAAACCCGGTGAGCCTGGGGTACCTGGGGTGCCTGGCGAACCTAAAAATATACGAAAAACAAGTAGTACTTTTTAAGCACCTTATAATGTTTCAAAAAAACTATTTTAAACAAAATATAATGGTTTGTTGTTTTAATTTTTAAAACATTTTTACCTAGACCACCTGGATAAATTGGTCCAGAGTTTGAAGGGGGTTTAGGGTAAGATGAACCTGGTGTTCCTGGAGCTCCTATATGAACAATATTTTAAATCATATAATAATAAGTTTAATATAATTGTTAAAAATATATTCCTTAGTTTTTACCCGGTAATCCTGGAGTCCCTGGGGTTCCCGGAGATCCTGGAGTTCCTAAAATAATATCAAATAGTTAAGAAAAGATTGTATACTTTATGTATATCATCGTATCACATATTTTATTTATTAATTTCTAGTGTTTAACTGATTATTTTAAATGCTTACCTAGACTTCCTGGGTATGGCGATGGTTTAGGGTAAGATGTACCTGGTGATCCTGGTGTACCCGGTTTTCCTATACAAATATTTCATCAGTATAAATTCGATAAAAAATACCATTATAATTTTTGTATTTATACAAATTTTTTAGAAGGACTATATTTTTTGAAGTTGGTGATATTTTAAATTGTTTGAATAATAACTAATATTTTATTACATATAGTAAATTTCTTACGTGTAGTTTTACATTATATTTTATTTTAAAACTACCTGGTGTTCCTGGGGTTCCTGGTGCTCCTGGTGCTCCTGGCACTCCTAAAAATATAAATTTTAAAATTATATAACATTTACCACTATACCTATAATGTAATTATACGTATAATGTGTATTTAAGATAGTTTGGTAGCAATTGTGCAACCGAAGTGGTTAGGGGAGTTAAGCCCCCTAAATTATTTAAACCCCCTTGAGATTTAAAAATAAAATCTTCAGAAATAAAAATGGTATTAATTATTACCAAGAGCCAAATTTCCCCAAAAATGTAAAGCTAAATGCTCCACTGCTAACTAAAATATTAATTCGTTTATTACACATCTATTTAAATTAAACAGTTTTTGCGCCAACAAAACGAATATTTTAATAGCTTTGTTAATACTGAAACAATACCATCAATTAAATAAAATTATCAAATATAATTATTTACCTGGGCCACCCGGGTATGTTCCTGGTAAAGGAGATCCTGATGTTCCCGGTTGACCTGTAAATGATTAAAATTACTTTTTAAAATAAATAACACAAAACATATTTAATGTTTAGTACTTTTATATAATGTCAATTGTGTTATTTAAAATACTACGTTAAATTACCTGGAAGTCCTGGGGAACCTGGTGATCCTGGTGAACCTAATTGATAATCAAGATAAATTTATAAACAAATGTTGATTCTTCGAAAGTATTAATTAACTATATGCAAATTACCTGGAAAGGGTGAAGGTTTATTGTATGGAGGAAATCCTGGTGTACCTGGCGAACCGGGAGATCCTGGCGAGCCTGGTTTTCCTAATATTAACATTTTTTAAATTAATATTATTAAATATACACTTATTAAATATTATTATTAACAAAATAATTAAATAAGCTTAAGTTGATATAAAATTTGAAAAGCAAATAAATAAAAATATACTTTAAAATAAGTTATTAAGAATAATAAAACACTATTTTACAATTTCATACAAGAAAATATTCTATTAGAACTTATAATAAAAACTTTTTATTCAAATGATTTACCTGGCGTGCCTGGAGTTCCTGGAGTTCCTGGTGATCCTGGATATTCAAAAGATCCAGGGTAACCAGATCCTGGTGCTCCTGGCGAGCCTGGGGCTCCTGGTATACCTGGGCCCCCCGGTGATCCTGGTGATCCTGGATATCCAAAAGATCCAGGGTATACAAAACCCGGTGCTCCTGGCGAGCCTGGGGCTCCTGGTATACCTGGGCCCCCCGGTGATCCTGGTGATCCTGGATATCCAAAAGATCCAGGGTATCCAGATCCTGGTAAGCCTGGTGCCCCTGGGGAGCCTGGCGCTCCTGGTGATCCTGGAGATCCTGGTGATCCAAAAGATCCAGGGGACTCAGATTCTTCTTCTTCTGTTGATCCTGGCGATCCTAAATTATTATTGTATACAAATGATTATAGTATATATTAAATATTTTTTTCTATTTGTTTTAAATTTGTTAATATAGGTAAAGAAATTTAAATGTCTTATGGTCCTATAACGGACCTACTGTCTGGTTAAGTGCAGTGGCCGTCGATAAGGCTAAGGCTTAATAATTATTTAGTGGCCTGAGATTGGTTTTTTAGGTTTATTAAATTTGTTTTAGAGCCGGAAATATATTAAAAAATTATTATAATTATACATATAAAATATGTATTTAATGTACCTGGAGATCCTGGCTCACCTGGGGAGCCCGGAGAACCTGGTGCTCCGAGTGAGCCTGGGAATCCTGGAGATCCTGGGAATCCTGGAGTACCCGGTGATCCTAGTGAACCTGGGGATCCTGGAGTACCCGGTGATCCTAGTGAACCTGGGTATCCTGGAGATCCTGGTGCACCTGGAGATCCTGGTGTACCTGGAGATCCTGGTGCACCTGGTGTTCCCAGTAAGCCTGGAGCTCCTGGGTATCCAAAAGAGCCCGGAAACCCTGAAGATCCTGGTGAACCTGCCGATCCCGGAATACCTGGAGCTCCGGGAGCGCCTGGACCACCTGGAGTGCCTGGTGATCCTTCAATAATACAGAAAAGTAATTAAACCTTAGTTACAGGCATGGATAAAATAAAAATAAAACTAGTCAAATGATTTTTCAAATGTATTAACGAATCAATATACAAATATAATTTTGGCAATTTTTAATCAAATAACATTAGAATGTTAAAACCAAATTAATTTTACCGCACTTGGACGTAAAATTGGTGCATATAATTATGCGAGATCATTTTATTCCTTACACGTTGTATAATTTATTATGGTCTTAAAATCTCACACTATCATAATTTATTTACGTTTATATTACTTTGGTAGTATGAAAATCTTTATCCGGTATAAAAAGAAACGTATGGATTTTACGTCAAGTATTAGAACAAGATGTACGGTAATTAATTTCGACATTTCATGTTATTAATACAATTAACAAACCTTTCAAAGTATAATAGTTTTAAGTTCACCTGGTTTTCCCGTGGGACTTGGTTTAGCTGTTCCTATGACACTGGGGTAGCCTGATGATCCTGATCCACCCAATTGTCCAGATCCCTCGATGGGGCGTCCTCCTCCACAACCTTTCGGAAAGAATAAATCATTCCATTGCGTAACCACTCCATGATGACCGTGGTGTTCGTGTTCGGAACCACTCGAACCCTCAGCTACGTGATTTTCTTCGTGACCTTCCTCGTGATGATGGTGAAATATTTCCACTGATTGGCCAGGAGTTACTACTCTGTAACCCCAGCCATCTGATAAGTAATGTGTGGCTTGTAAATTTCCATCTGGATCTACGTATCCATAACAACCATACGTGAATCCATCGGGACCTTTATTCTCATGATGAAATTGTCCATTTGGTCCTACTTCGTAACCGAATATGTAGGCCACTAAAAATAACAAATAAAATGTATTTCTTAAAAAGTTGATAACTACAACTTTTGAAGCTAAACATACATTTATACCATTAAAAAACACGAATAGTTATATTTTGCTAAAAATAATGACTATTAATGGTATAAATAATAATATTAACGATAATTTTTAATAATTACTTTTAATATTACCGTTAATATTACGAATGTTTGAACGGGATAATATACAGTTTATATATGAATAGAACGCTTGATCAAATAATAGCATTATTATGTTGCACTTTTTACCTCGCCAACAATCATATTAGTTAATAATTTTAAATGTAATTATCTAAAGCAAATTTTTTCTAGTATATATTTTTAGTAGATTATTCTTAAGAGGTCTTTGTTTTGTCATTTATTAAGGGACTAAATTGTGAACATAAGGCGACCAAACAACATTTTATTGTTTCTATTCGTATTGAAGAATTTTTGGTATGTATATTTTAAACTCCATTTGGACCGTATCAGCTCCATATGATAAAACTTCCTATTCTGATTTGGTGATAGTATTTTTTTTTTAATATAAACACAAAAACAAATAAGATATCTATACAGAAGACTCCATCATATTTATTAAACAAATAAAATCTGACTATGCATCGTAACCTAACTGGTGGAAGTAATTTTAGTTTATTTTGTGAAAAAACTACCTAATAGAGGTCGTTTAATTGGATACGCAATCGAAAATCTAAGACCAAGAAACATGTTGAAAGTTCTCTTTAATACAAAAAAAAATGTTGTAATTGGCTAATGTACGAGGTGTGAGAGTTATTCCCCTAGTGAATTTTTACCACCTAACTACATAATATTCATAACAAAAAAATGCATACGTTAAAAATAATGCTTTGAAGCTCAATGAATTATGCTGAAAATAAATTGTCACAGTCAAGATGTATTAAAACCACTTTTTTCTAAAATATTGCCTATACGTTGGCCCTTGTTTAATAAGAAAGAGCACTCTCTTTGTTTAATTTAACATATAACATTACATATTATATATATACAAACTGGTAGGTAAAATATTACTTACTGGTTTCAAAATTCTGTTCATGGTATTGAGTTTTGTTGCTATCCTCAAGATTAAGTACAACTTCCAAATCATTGGGGTTGACTTTTTGAGAAATTGCTTGTTGAATTCCAAAAAAAGCAATAAAAGCTAGGAAAACCTAAAAAAAATATTGATCATAAAATTATACAAAATGTTAATACATAGGCTAATTAAATATTATAATAAAATAGTGACTGTAGGAAAAAAAGGTTGTTTAAATAGTTTTTGTTTATAATACATGAGGAAAATATTATTCTTATTATCAGACATTTTCTTTATTATAGACATGTGAAATTGTTTTATATTATAGAAGTTACTTATACTTTTTTGATTCTCGCCACTCTAGATCTGCCAATTAATTTTTTTAGGGGTTGTAAGTGCATTGTTTTGATAAATTTTTAGAAATTACGCTTTAAAATATAATATAATGCGTTATATTATTCCACGTATGTGTATTCAATAAACTTGACACGATCTCTGGTAGGAAACCTTTCAATATTTGACTCCTGATATTTAGGCTTGATGTGCAGAAGGCTATTAAATATTTATAGCATTTACTAAACTTAACTGAATTTCTAAAAACTGTGTATTCAACATAACCGTGCACTATACGCCGTCGAATTGTAGCCTAAGATAAAATTATTATAAAAGTGACGTGTAAGCCGAGACTTACACAGATTTCGCTTTAGCCGATAAATCATCGTGAGCGTACCTTTTTTTTACCAGTGGCTAATACATATCACTGGATGCTACTTACAGACATAATAATAGTATAATATATTAGAATCTCTTTCGCCCACACAACATAGTGGCGGTACCAAATGTTGGTGCGTCGAATACGTATTTAAATTCAATTATCGTGTCATTTTCGACAATCAACGGAATCCAATATGGTATACATCCAGTGAAACAATGCAATATGTTGATTTTTGTATACTGTACGACGGTACCCCGTTTTTCACCCTTTGTCACCCGCACACAAAACAATACTATTCGTTATTACCTAATGTGCAAGACCGATGTGCACGTGCAATTGCTGTTTCTTGTCGCCATTCCAAACATAATCATAACCGTTGCCGTTCGATACGAGACAGAATGCTAAAAGAAAATTGCGTGCTGGCATTTTCGTCCTACTTTTGGTCACTGTGAGAACCCATCGGCTTAATTCATCACACGAGCCAGAGCAATCGCAATGGCTACTTAGATATTCAACTCAGACTAGGGAGTTCACACAGCGAGTTTAGGCTAACAACGCTATGTATGTGTGCGTGTCGGACGTATTATAATAATATAATACATATATCGTCTACAGACAACGCCAAGTCACTCCGACAATTGTTTAACGAAAAAATACATTTTTCAAATTTTTCTCAAAAATTATTAAAAAAAATAACAGCGACTGTGGTAAGTATCTAACGATATACAATTTACGATAATAAATAATGAATATTTCGCTTCTGTTTTGCGTGCATGTTGTACAGTTGTTTTTTAATTACTGAAATGGTTTGGCGTAAGTAGAAAAAAAAACACCACGTGGTATTTATCGACAGCAACCTCGGCGAATATTGTATTATAATCGATCGTACTCGTCGTTTTCTACAACGTTCAGAATCGACCGTCATGATATATAATATTATTATAATGTGGCTGTTGATTTTTTTTATATTTAAAATATAATATGATAATAAATACAAGTATTAACTTGTCATTTGTCAAATTTGCATAGAACAAGCTATGATATCAGAAATCTTTCAATATTACATCATTCAATTATTATACATAAAAATATATATATACAATTTGTGTACAAAAACCTAAGGTTAAAGCAGTGGAACGCGTTACTGGCTATTACTGACATAAATATTTACATCAGAAAAATGTTGAAAAGTTCAATAATTATTAAATTGCAATAATAACTTGATTTAAACGTTGTTTAATGTAGGTACTAAAATTAAGAAATATTATACGTAATGCTTGGGTTGTACTTCAATTGCTTTACATATTATAACCAGCACGAAACTGCATTGTTCACATTTCAGTTATTATTCTCAAAATCGACAAAAACTCTTAAAAACGATAATAAACAATAGCACTTACACACCGCAGGTTGCGCTAAAGGTCTATTATTTTTTATTGATTTCTTTTCTTAGTGTTATTTATTTAAAGATTAATATTGTATTATCCAAATATCAATTTATTCTGTTTTTTTAAATTACGTTTTATCGCCAAAATTGAAACTGGAGTTAGATGGATCGATAGAAATAATATGATTAAGTTTAAAATATACTAGACGTTTTTTGTTTCTTTGTCTTTACTTACTAAAATAATCGGCCTTGGGTTATTATACATATTTGTTTTATAACAGGTATGTTTTAATACTTTTAAATTTAATACGTGAAATTGTACAATGAATTTTAATAAATTACTTAGAAGTTCTTAAGACCCCTTTCGCCGCATCTTCATACCTATGTTAATCTATAAGGTCAACCGGTTCGGTACTGGATCGTTTAAAAATACTTTATACTGTAAATCATTTACACTGTTATGACGATTAGATAATCCAAACCGGATCGTAATGTATTTAGTAATCATGAGTCAAATGTGGGCGGCCATAAGGATAATATAGGCTATGGTCGTTTATCATAAAAGTGTACGGTTTGGCTGTGCATTGTCAAAAAGGGACAGTCAGATTCGTAAGTATAAACTAGTCAGAAATATGACGCACTCCGCTTTTTATGAATACACTCGAACCATATGGATACGGCCATAATGCACACGAACAGCACGGGGTCAATAAATAAGCCCAACAAGCGTATATAAAACCTATACTCTATAGGTAGTAGCGGAAAAAATATTCAAGATCTATACTTTTTATCGTGCCAGTCGATGCAAAACACAGTAAACACAAAACCGGAATGAGCACTCAGTCAATCGTAATATTTATTTTATATTCGAGGACGGAAAAACTTGTAATCGCTAAATGTACTTACGGCAGAGATGGGTAATTGAAAACAGAGTTAATGTATTTGAGCGGTTTAATAACTGTATCGTGATTAATCTGTAACATTTGAGGGGTAGTTTGATACAACGGTTATGGTGGTTGACATAATGGAACAGTATATATAGGGTAAGCTGCCTATTCATCGCGGCCGCTGCGATAGTACCTATCTCATGTGGATTAAGCCAAAGAACGTCGACGCTTCAGACGATTTTTTTGATTTTCGACAAACCTTTCGGCCGACACGAAATTATACAGAAACGCACAGTAAGTTCTATTACTCGAAAATTGGTACTTTTGAGTTTTGACTGCGATAGACCCCGATTGCTATGACAGATTGTGTACATTGCTGTTACTGTAGAGTTACAATGTACATAATATGACAATAACATTTAAAAGTTGGATAAATCATTTTAAATAAAATATATACCATCCTGGACGTAGGAGATTTGGGTAGTTTTACAACTGTCATTATCCAGCAAATACATAACAATGATTATAAAAAAAAAACAGTATTATTATTAAGACGCCTAAGCCATGGTTTCGTGTTAAAAACGTCAACGGCCAGCTGGTACATTCGTCATTGTCTCTTAAATAAATAGACCGTCGTGTATTTTATGCGGCTCGTGGGAATTGCAAGAAAAACCGACAGCAGGCAGCCCGCGTCTCTTGATAATAAAATGAGTAGTCAATGTTTTAAAAAAAAATTATTGTGGCGGGTTACTAGCGAGAATTATCTCTAGAATATAAGACCCGACGACAGCCAACATTATACCAAGTCCCTATAGTATTGACTTAATGCTCATGGGTTTCTTCATATTTTGAAAATCTAGTATAAGAATATGCTGGTTTCCATCAGAGAAAGCAAAACGGCATTTATATTGTTATTTATTTAAAACAAAAAAAATCAAATTATAGTTATTTAAGAACAAAGTCAACGATGAAGGTTTGTTGACTAGGTATTATTGAAACGGATTGAGTCTTCAAGCGAACACACTATATTATGTATATTGTACAATAATACAAAATAATATAGTCATCTAATACGCATCGAAACGATTGAATTAAGCTGTCTGATTAACCACATGAATAACGACAACCGTGATTGCAGTATAAACCTATTTATTTTTTTATTATCCTTTTGGTCGTCATCTAATACGCCTTTTCTAAACCGTTGCTTATGAATTTATAAGTGTGTTTAGATTGTAAAACATGGCATTTTCCCCATGCGACTTCGTGACGCATTCCGGTACCGTACGTTTGTCTCTTGAGCATGTCACGTACACATAATACATCTGTCACCGTTTTGACAAGTAGCAGTAGGTACCTATGTCTTGTAGAAATACAATTATCGGGGTTCGTATATCACTGCTCAGACCCCTTCAAAGCCCAGGTGGTTGTAGAAAATCCCCAGTACTGCGGATTTTCCACTATAAAGTGGCAGTGGTCCATGTAATTCGACGATAAAGTCTGAGCTGACCGATTGTACGGTATGAAAATCAAATTTCCCCTCGAGTCGGATACGAGACGGGCAATTATTACGGCACACGATTTGTTTTGTCTTTATTATATATTATGGAGATTGGTAAGCGTTCTAGAGCCGTTGGGCGATTTCAAGCTTTTAAGGTGAAGGCCGTCCGGTATCATCATTGGCGTGTGGTATTTACCCGGTTACGTGAGCGGCCTTATCCGTCATTTCCATCAGACTGGTTCGACCAGATAGCATTATGATTGTTTTTATTGCTTTGCTCGATGAGCTCAATTTTTCATCGGTGATCTATTGTATAATTACTGGTACCTATACAAGTATACAGATCGATTAGTCGTTTCGGCATGGAGACTACCGGGGTGAATGTGCAACCGCGTGCTAATTGATCCATAAAACATAATGTATTCTACATGCGTTTGCTCTCGTAAGGTACCAGCTACATACAAACTAGTCGTCTGCGACGGATGACCCGGATCACCTGAAAATTCATCACCGCCGTCCGACACAAGTGGTCTTTCCTTACATGACCCGCGCATTTTCCCCGGCATTTGTCTGCATTAGGGTCGCCGTTAAAATATACTACACAATATAGTTAATTTTATGTTGCCGTGTTTTGTGATCTTTTATGTTT